CCGATGTACTGCTGGTGATCTCTATGAACCATTGTAGAGGCGTGTCAACCAGGACAACCCTACAACACCCAAAGCTTTTAGAAACCTCATCCACCACAGAGGCCCTGCTACCAAGGAGTTGTTTAACTGAAGCCAAATAAATTAAGGTGCAACTCACAGACATTACATCCCAGTCACACTGATAAACCACTTGAGTTTTTCCAGCGAAAATGTTCTGAATATTGCCGACAATCATCCCGCTTTGTGAAAGCTCCTTCGGTAAACCAGCGAGCAAGGTTAGCATCAAACAAGGTGGCATACCAAATAGCTCAGTGCAAAAACCCTCACACCATAGCAGAGGAGCCTGCCTGCAGCATTAGACATGGTTTCTGGCATGCTGGATGACACGAGTGCTGCAAAAAATCTCTCTGTCCAGTGACACTGTCACCAGACGTATAAATGACATTGGTAACGACCTTAAAAAACAGCTGGTAGATAAACTCAAAGACAAACATTTTGCCTTACAATTTGATGAAGCAACCAAGACTGTTTGTTTATTGCTTATGTACGTTGTGACATGACAAAGTTCCTGTGTGAGGATCTACTTTTTTGTAAACATGTCAGAGACAGAGACACCTCTGAAAAGCTATTCAAAATGCTGGCCTGCTTCCTAACTGAGAACGGGCTAAAGTGGGAGAACTGCATTGGTATTTGTAGCGATGGTGCACAGACCATGGCAGGGATGAGAAAAGGGCTTCGGACGCTCATCAAGAAGGTTTCGCCTAATGCTGAATGGACACACTGTGTTATACACAGAGAAGCACTGGCATCAAGGCACCTTTCCTATTTTTTCTAAGTAAGGTTATGACTGATATTGTAGGTGTAGTCAATTTTATAAAGACCAGACCACTAAAAACAAGAGTCTTCTCTGCTGTCTCAAGTCAAGTCAAGTCAAATCAAGTGCCTTTATTGTCATTCCAACCATGTGCAATGGTACAGTACACAGTAAAACGAGACCATGGTGCTACCTATGACATGTAACAGACAATCAACACAGGACTACACAAAGTGCAATGTGCAAAAAAACAAAACAAAAAAAGACTGACAGGAGGAGTCTGACAGCTTGGGGGAATAATCTGTTTCACAGTCTAGTAGTGAGGGCCCGAATACACCGGTACCTCTTGCCAGAAGGCAGCAGGGTGAAGAGTGTGTGTGAGGGGTGCGTGGGGTCCTCCATTAAGGCTTTGCGGAGGCAGCAGGTGTGATAAGTGTCTGTGATGGAGGGAAGAGAGGCTCCAATGATCTCCTCAGCTGTTCTCATTATAAGTTGCAGAGTATTGCAATCTGATATGGTGCAGTTGCCACACCAGACAGTGATGCAGCTGCCCAGGATGCTCTCGATAGTCCTTCCATAGAAGATGGTGAGAATGAATGACGGAAGATGGGCTTTCCTCAGCTTCCACAGGAAATAGAGACGCCGTTAGGCTTTCTTAGTTATGGAGCTGGTGTTGAGGGACCAGGAGAGGTTCTCTGCCAGGTGAACACCAAGGAATTTGGTGCTCTTGACGACCTTCACAGAGGCTCCATTAATGTGAAATGGACAGTGATCTCTCTGTGCTCTCCTGAAGTTAACAGTCATCTCTTTTGTTTTGTCCACATTCAGACACAGGTTGTTGACTGTTTCCTATTGTTGACTATATGTGACGAGATGGGAGCTGAACATTGAGCTGTGCTGTTTTACAGTGAAGCAAGGTGGCCGTCATGAGGAAAAATCTTGTCCCGAGTTTTTGAGCTCAGAGAGCAGATGAGAATATTTTTGGAACAGGAGCACAAGTCTGAAGTGGCCGAAAAATGTAGTGATGAGAACTTTCTGGTGAAACTGGGCTACCTGAGTGGCGTATTTGGAAAGCTAAACGAACTAAATCTACAGCTTCAAGGGAAAGATAAACACCTCCCTCAGGTCACAGGCAAGATCAGCTCTTTCACCCGAAAGCTTGCAATGTGGGACAGCAATCTTGATGAAGGAAATACTGATTTATTCGAGAATCTGCTTTAATTTGTTGACACTACTGGCTATGATGCCACCTCAGTGATTCCATGTATTAAGCAGCACATTTCAAAACTGATCGCATACTTCCCTGAAAACAGTTCCCAGTATGACTGGGTGAAAGATCCTTTCAATGCACAAGCTCCAACTGGTTTCAGCTATGCAGAGGAGGACCATGACATCTGACTCCACTAAAAAACAACGTTAATAAAATTATTCTTTGTTTTAAGTTGATCTCTATTTCTTTTTAGTTTTCTTTAATGTTAATAAGGATACAATGTTTTGCAGAGATGTACTTATAATAACAATTTGGGTAGACTGAAGCAGATATGACTCCTTCTTCAGCCTGATGACTCCCTTCACTTCCAGTGTCCACCATTTGGTTACAACATTGACAGGCACCAACCACTTTGCAGCCAGAACTCAGTGCAGCAGCCCTCAGCAATGGAGGTGGCGAACATGGTACATAGGGACTCAGTTTCCCCAGTTTCCCCAACTGACTGATCAGTTGACTGCTCAGCCTCTCTCTTTACCTGAGTGTCCACAACATATGGCAACAGATCTGATGATACAATGACAAAATCAATCATTGACCTGTGACCTAGGGTGTTGTGGTTCCTCCCAATCATACCCCTCTAGGTCTTACTGTCCCACAGAGCATTGAAGTCTCCCAGTAGGACAACAGAGTCTCCAGGTGAAGAACCCTTGAACCCCCTGCTCAGGGACTCCAGTGGACTCTAGCCCACTGGGAAAATGCCAACGTACAGGCAGTAGGCCGAGGGGATACCAAGATACCCACTCCAGCCTGCCGCCTCTCATCAAGGGCAACTCCTGACTGGGACAGAGTCCAGCCCCTCTCGAGGGGACTGCTTCCAGAAGGATACACCAAGCTGTGCATTTAGCTTAACCCGATTTTATCTAGCCGGTACCTCTCAACTTCACACTCTAGCTCAGGTTCCCCATCAGCAAGGTGACATTCCATGTCCCAGTCATCAGCCTTGGTGGCCAGGGATTGGGATTGGTCTGCCAGAGTCTCCACCCTTGGCCGCCGCCTAAAACACGCTGTGCCTGACCTCTACAGCTCCATTAAATCAATGATTTTAGCGTGTTAGAGAAGAAAATGGTGGATTGGTGCAAATTGCATCCAGAACAGAAATTATACTGGAAATGCAATTTTGGTTGAACAAACATCTACACAAACAGCATGCTTAAACAGACAGACCTGACCCTGAACTTCAGTAGATAAGCTGATGAGCAGTCAGGGTTGCAGGGGTGTCTCCATTTCTACCTGTACATGTTTCTACAGTAAGATCACTGTGGCAGTGGCTTTAAATTCTCTTTGTGCTGGTTTCCATATTTGCTTATTGTTGTTGCTTTGTGTTAATAGGTAAACACTAAAAGAAAGATCACATGTTTGCCCTTATTAGGACAGGGATTTTCTGTTGGTGTGTGGGAAACTGTAGCCTACAGTTTATATTGTTAAATGTAACTATGTGACTGCGTTTCAGGTCATTTTATCGTTTAGTGTAACAAATAAATTTCTCTGGCAAGTAATAAAGCAGCATACTACATTACTTTTAAGAAAGGTAATGAATAATGTGTTTTACTTTTTTTGATTAATGACCCAGCGATGCACAGCACAGCCCTGCTCCCTGGTGCCTTTGTTTTAAGCTCTCTGTCTTGACCCACTGTTTTTCTTTCTATGTTTAGGATGATGAAGTGGTCTTACAATGCTCAGCTACAATCCACAAGGAGCAACAAAAACTTTGTCTTGCTGCTGAAGGCTTTGGGAACAGACTCTGCTTCCTCGAGTCCATTTCAAACTCCAAGGTACAGTATTGACATGAGTAATAATCCTTTATTTCACAAGAAAAGCCAGATAACCATCAAATGAGTGGGAAAAATGATTTCACTGAAGAAAACGTGTTGGCTGCAGCATGTAATTATGTGTCATGTTCACCAAACCCTGATCATCAGATCACAAACCAAAATGCTTTTGGAGAAGTTGCATAATTAATTAAATGAGTGTCACAGCTTCCACAATAGCATTACAGTTTACTCATGCTCACTGACTTTTAAGAAAACTACTCTATACCTCACAGCTTTCATAGCTCCATTCATGCTATATTTGATAGGATTCACGTGTTTACTAAGAATTGTGTGTGCACAAAGTCAGAGCTGTACTCATCATAGATTTAATAAAGTCTCCTGTGCCACACAGGGTAAACCGTGGCTCTATAAAGGTGGCCTACACAATGGTGGACAGGAGGTTTTAATTTAGATGTAAATTTATAGCTGTTTTCTTGTTGTTTCAGAATGTACCTCCAGATCTGTCAATCTGCACTTTTGTGCTGGAGCAGTCGCTGTCTGTACGAGCCCTGCAGGAGATGCTGGCCAACACCCAAGAGAAGGCGGATGGGGTGAGTGTGGGCATGCATACACACACCACAGAAGAGAGTATTAATAAATGTACTGTAGGTGTTGTTCACATTAGGGTAAGATCTTCTAGGGCAGACCTAGGGTAAGGTCATCTCTCAGTAAGAAGGTTCCTGGTTTGAACCCCAGCTGGGTCCTTTCTGTGTGGAGTTTTCAGGTTTTCCATGTGTCTGGGTGGCTCCTCTCCAAGTACTCCCTAAGCTGTGTAGGCAGACACAGGGGTGGACTACACAGTATTAGGGAGTTTCCTATCA